ACTGAAGCAAACATCCACAGCATGGTGCTCTTACATCATGTTTAGATACCTCTCTTCTGATTCATCCAACCTTGTTCAGTACAGGATTGAAATAGGTAGTCAATATACCCAGAATGGCTATTGAAAACATTAGTATGGGCTGACAACCAAGCTATGGCATGCTTGTAAAGTTTCTTCGGTGTTGTCCATTGTGTTCTAGGTCAATAATGTCCCATTACTGAAAAATTAGAACAGATTTTTTCCCAAGAAAAGAACAGAAGAATATACATTCAGCTTTCAGGGCAACAAGTATTGTTCAACCAGACCTTGGAAAATTACATTTAAAAAGTAAATTGTTATTCTTATTGTTTCAAGGTTCAACCCTATTATTATTATTGTTATTGCAATTTTTTCTGATTTTTAAAAAGCTAACTGGTTTAGTTAATTATGTTCAATCAAGTTGGAACCAGCTTCTAGTGACCCTGATAGGGCTTTCAAGATAAGTGAGATATTTATGGAGTAATTTTAGCAGTGCCACTTCCCAGGTAAGTTTCCATGGCTAAGCAGGGATTCAAACCCATCTCCTGAGTCCTAATCCATCGCTCTATCCACTATACCACACTAGATATCCACATTGAGCAACTGTATACTTTCCTGTTATTCACAAGAAACTGAAATTAGAGAATGTAAAGCCACTGTCCTTTAGAACAAAACACGTGTAAATCATTGCCCCTATAAAAGGAACTTTAAAAAGTAAAAGTGACACCACAAAATGAATGATACTATCCTTGCTTATATTGCAATTGTTATATAATTTAGTAATGGTTACTGCAAAATGAAATGAATTACAAATTATTATTTGTAATGAGTTCATTTCCAGCTCATACAAACTTTGGATTTAACAGAAGTGAAAAGAACCTTTATAGAGTTCAGATACAATTCCGAATGGTTGTGCCATCATGCAAGTAATTATTTGCTTGTGGTCCCATTACTAATCTCTATTAATGCTTCAGGTGGCCTTGTGTCAGTGAACGAGCTGAGAGAGGTCCCCGTGTTGTAAGAGGAATGAGTATGAGTTAACAGAGGGTGCAACAAGACAGGCATTTAGTCTGCTGTTTGGACCACTGTGGGGATGGGCTGTTTCATTAATTTTGACAGTGATCACATGACATAATCCCTGGAGCAAACCAAATTGTCCACAGAGCATTTCTCCCTGCACCATCCTGGCTCCTGTCAGGGGCTTCTCCCTTTTTGGTCTAGGCAAGATTGCTCTGGTTTTGTCCATTTTCAGTGTGTGTGGTCACTGGAAACGAACCAAAAGAGAGCCTTCCTTTAATTTGCCAATATCATGAAGTAGCTTAAGAAGAGAACTACTTCACAGTATTGGTAAATTGATGACTTCCTTGGATTCATGGAGAACCTGAGGAAGGGGGAAAAATTTAAGTGTATATAAGGACAGTTGATATGTGCAAGCCTTAAAAGGCTAATGGAAAGTGCATTTGTATTAGGGCAGTGCAGCACCCCTTGCTGTCAGTTTGTCTGCTGTCAAAATACACATTTGCTTTCCATTAGTCTTTTAGGTCTTTAAAGGGATTCAGTGTATATTCACTGCCCTTATACACATTCAAATTCCACCACCCACCCCCTTCCTCAGACCCTTTACGGAACTGAGGAAGTGTTCAATTTGCCAGTATCATGAATTGTCTCTCTTCTTAAGCCACTTCCCAGTATTGGCAAATTGGCTGCAGGCTACTGTGGACCAAATAGGGTCACTTGAGGTATTTATGCCATCTGGATACAAGGATCACACTACATAGCAACCCTGTTTAGCCATTACAGCCCACTCCTCCTGCAATGTTTAAACAAGCCCATAGCTTACTATTCCTAAGGAAAAGCAGAGCACCAGCATTTGACATCAGAGCTATATGATGCAAGGCAGTTTGGCTCTTCTTATGAGAGCAGCTAAGGTGACGTGACCCACAGCTTTAGATTCTAATTTTCTAAGCCAAAGAAAATGTGATATAATATATTAAATACATATATTAAATAAAACAACTGAGACCTCCTTGCCTGGAGTGTTCACTGAGCTGTTTTGAGGGAACTACCATTATTATTTATTCATATTTTACATGATACCTTATTAATGTTTAATTATTTCTAGTGTCCTTTTCCATCTCACACCACTTTTTCCTTTTCCTTTTAAAAATGAGTTTAGTGTCAAATTATGAAAGTATTTTAACTTGTTTCGTAATCATTAATAGTTATAATTTTATTATTGGATATTAATAGAAGGAATAACAAGCAGGAGACGTAATCAGACATAATCATAAAACATAATTGGCAATATTGTTAGAAATTGCCATGTACCGTAAAGACAGGTATCCTCTGTTATGAGGTAAAGAAAAACAATGGCTCCTGGCAGCAAATCTGGACATGGTACCATTTCTCTTTTCAAATATCTATTTCTGTGTATAATTCAAAACAAAACAGAGCAGAACATTAGATCCAATCCAGAGCGGGAGGTATCATTTTGACTTTTAACAGCAGAGCAAGTCTGTCACTGAGCAAATTTCCAGGCAGAACAGCATTGCACATGCCTAGAATTTGGATTCTCTAATAGGTCAGTATAGCTGAAGTTGAACTAAATGGGAAGATCTTCTTGTGCTTGGGACAAAGAGATCTGATCTTCCCCCTTCCCTTTTTGTATTTTGGGCAAGCTTGGTTTGTCTTCCTATTCTTTGTTTTCAGTTTCTAAGATAATAGTACTTCCCTTTCATGTGGCTGATCATGAGCCTTTTTATTTTATTTTTTATTAATTTTTAATTTAGTATTAAAAGTAAAATACAAATTCGTTAATAACGACATACAATGCACATTGGACTTTCTGCACCCATGCCACCTTCACCCTTGAGACTAGGTGACCATTGATAACAATTTATATCCCTTTTCACCCCATGTTGTTGTTGTTTAGTCATTAAGTCATTATCGTTTCGTTATCGTTTAGTCATTTAGTCGTGTCCGACTCTTCGTGACCCCATGGACCAGAGCACGGCAGGCCCTCCTGTCTTCCACTGCCTCCCGCAGTTGGGTCAGATTCATGTTGGTTGCTTCGGTGACACTGTCCAACCATCTCATCCTCTGTCGTCCCCTTCTCCTCTTGCCGTCACACTTTCCCAACATTAAGGTCTTTTCCAGGGAGTCCTCTATTAAGTCGTGTCCAACTCTTCGTTACCCCATGGACCAGACCACGCCAGGTCCGCCTGTCTTCCACTGCCTCCCGGAGTTTGGCCAAATTCATGTTGGTAGCTTCAACAGCTTTCACTCTACACCTCTCCAAAAATACATTGATTCTTTTGCTGGGATATAGCCTTTTCCCTTCAAAATAACATGCTCCAAGTATGAATTCCATATATCTTTGAAATCATTAGACTTTATGATTCCTCTTCTTATTTTCATTTCACATGTTAACTTATCATTTATTTATTTATTTATTTATTTATTTATTTATTTATTTATTTATTTATTTATTTATTTATTTATTTATTTATTTATTTATTTATTTATTTATTTA